CCAGGTTCCTCTTTACCTCTTCCCAAACCTTTCATAACGAGACTTCCTTAGAGCTGCATCATTGCTTCTGGGGATACAGTAAGCAGGTACTACACACACCTCCGTTGACTCACTTGGGAGAAGACGTCTTGTTCCTTTTGCATCATTTCCTCTGCAGATGGTTTTGGAGACTGAGACAGCCAGCCCCGCTAAAAGGGGTAGAAGGTGTAGGGCATGGCTGCTGGGTTATCAAATGAGTTTGTCTAGTTTGCCTTTTCAGGTGGAGAGTTTTTCAGAGGTCCTATATATATTTAACAAAGGCTACGTAAGGTTTTTCACAGAAGATATAAGCTCTTTACTACTTTGGCCAAAGGTGACTGTGTAAAACTGGGACCTGGTAAGGCAGCTCCTGCCCAGGTGACAGCGCTTGCCTGTCCCCTGGCTCAGGCTGCACCACAGCAAATGCCACAGCCCCACTGGCCACCTGTGGTGGCTCCTCGGCAGTCACCAGTCCCGACAGTGCCAAGAGTCCTTGCCCTGGTTTCTGTATGTGGATACGATGCGTTCGCAAACAATTTTCCAGGGGAGGTGCCACCACTAAAACTGTGTGAGAGGCGGAGGGAAGGGAAATCAGTCAGGAGGAGAGGAGCAGGGCTGAACACGTGGAGGCAACAGGAGCCACACTGTGGCATCACTGGCACGTGGGCAAGGGGGGGCTGTGAGGGAAGCGCTGTCTGAGACAGGCAGGAGGAAAGGCACAGCAAGAAAAGAAGCAGGGAAGAAAGAAAAGACAGGCAAGGAAGCCGGTGCTCATTCAGCAAGAATTTGCAGTAGTGAGGCCTGTTTATACATATTATCTGATAACAGTGTGGTGATAAGCTCAGGGAGACCGTGACCTCCACTTCCACAGCGCACAGCCCTTCTCTGTCTTCTCCTGTCGCCTGCAGGCAGGCAGGCATCTTGCTGGTGCTGGTTTCAGCATCCATAATAATCACCCTTTTCCAAGACCACGAGTATATAGCAATAATAAAAAAACAAGTCTCACAGAGGAAGGAGTTCAGAACTAGAGATTGTGTCAGTTAAGTGCTGACTGTGACAAAGGTAAGCAAAGAAGCACGCTGTGGGTGGAGACAGGTATGACATGTGTCAGAGGGAGATGACTGCGTAAGGGACTCTTCTGTTTGGATACAAATCAGATCCTGGGTCCTCAAAGCTCAATTAGCAATATCTTCACTGATTAAACAGTGAGACTGTAGGGCCAAACAGCCAAACCAGAAAATAATCTCACCTTGCTCTATGAACAGCAAGCAACTCCAAGTGCCACAGCTCGAGCAGGTTGCCAGAAATGTGATGTTTACTGGGATGATGGTACCCTCTGCCATGCAAGTCCCTGGCCTGCAGTCTTGTGCTCTGCCTCAGTTCTGCCCCTCCTACAGCCAGCGCAGTGTACAGCAGAGAGGTGAAGCAGCCTCCCCATCCTAGTAGTCAGTGCTGCTCCAAGGCTCTTTGTTGTGACACAAACAGGGAACAGGACTTTTGCCCTTGCAAATGCATACAATCTCAAACTGTGGTTCCCTCCTCTCTTTTTTTTTTTTTTTTAATCTGCTTCTATTTTCAGCTCAGAACATTAAACAGGGCTGGGTTTTGGTTCCCTAAATAGGCACATGGAAACTGCAGTGAGCTAGAAAGCTAAAATTTAGCTTTTGCTCTGAGGCTGAAAGCGCTTTAGCTTCATGTACTGTGTTGTCAGTATCTCACTGTTATCCTTTAACCCCACAGCAAAAAAAGGGAGAGTCTGTATCTGTTCCTGATGAAGGAAATACAGACTAATCTTTTTACCTTGGAAGAGATCAACAAAGGAAATGTTTTCTTCTTAATTACATTTTTACAAGGTTTTCAGCTATTACATAAACAGTGTATGCATACTATATAAAAAGAATTAATACATGGGCTGCCCTTTTAATAATTATGAGCAAAATGAGTGCAACTGAAGAGGTGTAGCATATCTTATTGTTCTACATGAATTATTATGTATATAATAATGTGGTTATTTATACATTGTAATAAAGTGAGACTGTCTTGGTGTTCTGAAATTCTGATGTATTAGTACTTACACCCACTTACAGAGATGTAAACATCTATAAAGTATGTGAGTGTTAAGAATTAAGTTTACTGAGGCCAAACTAACATTTTGTTGAAAGTTTTCAGTTTCCTCTCTCCAATCCAAAGGGATTTTATATACACTAAATGGGTTCATATTTAAAAGGCTGACAAAAAGCAGCTTACCAGATTTCTGTATATATTAGTCCTAACTTTTCTCCGGCAACCATCATGATGACAGCAGTGAAAAAGCTTGTGTGGTCTCAAATCAAAACTATGCAGAATAAAGGAAAAGGGATCTGTGCAAGTGTATCTTTTGCTGCTATTTTAATCATGTACCTCCTTATCTTGCCCCACTGAAGTGGTGCAGCACTTCTAAAGGAGGCTGATGCTCACTTCTTGTGGAGAGATGGACTTTCCCATAAACTGCTCCTGCAGCAGATTGAGAGCTGTGGCCACCTGCAAACTCTCCTCTGCAAGGACAAAGTATACTACTGTGTCATAAGCATTTTTTAAATGACTCTGCTAATACTATTGTAGGTATCATCCTCTACAGAAGAGTTGTTTTTTTTTTTTTTTCTAAATTTTATCATTGATCTACCTCAGCTGATCAAAGGCACTTGATTTTTTTAAAGACATAGTGGGGGCTGGAAGTTGGGGCTTTGTCTTTAATGGAACTTTGTCAAACAACTGTCATTACTGGAAAAAAAGTGCATGCATTGAAATGCAAATCATGGAAATGCTTATAATCCAGAGGTAATGAACAGAAGTACTGAAGAGAAAAAAATGCCCTTCCCCAGCCGAAATCCTGGAAGAGACAACAGCTGCGAAATAGCTACTTGAAGTGTGGCTGTATGAAGTGTATGCGGTTGAAACAGGTTTAAATTACCAAAGGCTACTTTTGTAATGTGGCTGCAGAATATTACCGCTGCCAAACCACCACTGTTTGCTCTGGCCTATGTTATGGTGTACGTACATGTATGTCATGCTGATCTAGGGGGAGGATCTTACGTAAGCAGCTGTATGATTTTATAATATAAATAATGTATATATATAATGTAAATGTATAATTTTAATTTCATCTCCTGCTTAAGCAATACTGATAGCTCCTCTGTATGTTATGTGTTTTCTGACCCATTTCAAATTATAGGCAGAAATATTAGTGCTGCTACCAACAGGGCTGGCTGCATGTCTTCAGTAGCTTAAAACTCTGTCAGATATTAACTGTTCATACTGAAATTTTCCAATCCTGAAGCAGAATAATTTGAAAAAATTCCAGGTAAAATAGTTCAGCTGCTTCTGAGAATATGATTTGAAAAAAATGTTGTTTTGGTTGCATTAAAACAAAAGTCTAGTAACTATTTTATAGAGAAGCTCTAAGATTGTCAGGTTTTAAACTAGGGCTTGGAAATTTGAAAATGCACCTTTTGTGATTCTTGTAAATTTACCCAAATTGGAGCAAGTTACAATATTTAAAAAGAAGCATCAGTTTGCTGGTGCAGAGTACGAGACATACCAGCATGTAGGTGCTGAATTCCGGCAGTCCCTTCTGCACCAGCTGGCCTCTATCAGTGAGTGCCTCACCCAGCTCTGACTCTTGGGTTTGTAGCACCAGGTGCCAGACCTAAGAATAAGTCCCTTACTTCATCCTGGATCTCAATACTCCCTTTGCTAATAAAAGGAGACGATTCAAAGTGTCTTTATACACGCATATCCCCATCACTAGCACTAGGAGCGGGGTTTGGAAGTAGATATTCAAGAGAAGATGCGTGTGGGAGTGCAGAGAGTCCCACGACTCAGGCAGTAACACAGCATCCAAGAGCAAGAATGTGGAGGGCAAGACTGGGCTAAAGAGGAAGGTGAGACTGGAGCAAGGAGCTGAAGTGGGAGAAAAGGGGTGCATTGGGATAGGAGGAAGATACTAGCTTTGGCTGGGGAACAAGCAGAGAAGCTTGTGCTGATTACACCCTATTGTCCTTGCCTTGATTCCACATTTTCAGCCTCACTGCTCTTCTGCAAGCTCCGCTGCAAAGCGCATCTCTCCTTTCATCCTGAAGGCTGCAGAATAAGGAGGGTGCGTGCTGCTGCTCGCACCTTTGGAGCTCAAGGAGCAGGGGTGTTTCCCACAGACCTAAAAGCTCAAACACTGCTTGGCCCATTTGATAACACTTTTGTTCTTCATTATGCTTTCTTGATTTAGAAACTCACACATTCAAAATGCATCCTACATTAAAGGAACATGAACATTGCAAAATCTCTTGTAAGCAAGAAAAACAATAGAATATTGTCCACATAAATGTAATTTATCTTCTGTGTGTCTAAAAGCAATGGTATAAATTTTTTTCCAATTGACTCCTGAAGGCCTCACAGCAAAAAACAGGTGGCAATGAGAGTGAGATTTGATTAAAGAGACACACCAATGCTTCTGGCCCTGTTCTGTATCTCCTGTGGAAGATTGGCAGATTTTTTTCTCTTGAACTTGATTGTTTTTTTTTTTAAAGTAGGAATTACACTCCACTACCATGTCTGGAAAGTGATGAATGGATACTGAAAAGCTGCTGAGGAACTACTTCATATGTACAGTTCTAACAGCGTGAAGGCACAGGGCCATGCACTGAATCACAAGCAGGAAACAACTGACTGAGACTTTACTAGGTACAAGCATAATCCAAATCATGTCATGAATTCTGTATTTCCAAACTTTTCACTTCTTGAGTTTGCTGATTTTTAACATAGCTACAATTTTTATAAAATCTCACATAGTTTCCCATTTTCTTGACCACATATGCATTAGTAGACAATGATGCAATTCAGAGTTTATGAGAGAGAACAAGACTTAGGCAAATGCAGTGTTACATAATATTAAAATGTTGAAATATGAAAATATGAAAACTCTTTAACATTGTCAACTCCTTTACAGAATGACATGGGAGAAAAAGTCACAAGACAAAACAAATCCACCTGATTTTGAACATTCTAAAGATGCGGAAGATGAGCTGGAGAAGGTCACAACTGCACCCAAGAACCATGATTCCCAGCACATTTCAATTTTTTGCTCTGCGTGTCAACAAACAATATATCCATACCACCTTCTTTATCATAAAAACACCCACAAAGCCCAAACTTTGCTGGGCTTTGACAACCCACAAACAAAGACTGACAACAAAACACTTTTAGCTCAGAGACAGAAACTAATTTCAAAACTGACCAAGATTCCCAAATATTCTGAGAAACACAGGCAGAAGATTGATTATTCATTTGAATTCCTTATGAATAATCACACTCCTACATCATATGGTGATCCTGCTAATATTAACAATCCTAGTACTTTTAAGAAAGTAAGTAATTCTTTAATAAAAGCATTATCAGTTTGCCAAGATAAAAATTCAACATGGCAGGGAGACATGGAAGACCGATTCATTGTGCTTGACAACTACGGAAATAGGTCAGATACATGTTTTCTGGGGTTATTTGATGGCTCTCATGGTGTGACAGCTGCAGAAACAGTTGCAGCAGAGCTTCCACTTTTATTTCTTGACCAGCTTGCTCAAATGGATTCCTCCTACAAAAAGAGTAAGGATGAACAGCAAATTCTAGATTCTTTTGCCACAGTAATCAATGCAGATTACAGGCAAAAAGAGAGAATTTTCTCTGACAAACCAAGCAATGACAAGACCAACAAGACCAATACTTACGAATGGATTCACAAAGCATATGCCAAGTCCTTTTGGAGAATGGATAGACTTTTACGACTAGGAAGGAATGAGGTTTCCAAAGTTCGCTGGAGTGGCTGTTCAGCTGTTACCTGTCTGGTGGAAAGAATCCCCAGTGAAGAGACAGATGGCACTGAGGAAGAAAAAAGAAAACATTTTGAAAACAACACACACAGTCCATTAGCCAGGACAGCCAAAGATGTTGCTGGGTTGCTGCACATTGCCAATATAGGTATGTACATTCCACACTAGGGATTTTTCTTTTCTCTGCCCAATAAAAAGTGAAAAAATAAGCTCATCTAGAGATTTGTTGGCAGTAGATATTTGGAGATAAAAAGCTGCTACTGCTTTAACTTGACAATATGAAGGAGACATGATAAAATTCCCTTGCAACTGATACTGGTATCAGGTAGTAAGTATTAAGCTTACTAGATAAGTACCTTCAATATGATATTTGAGTTAAAGTAATAAAGTTAATTTACTAATGCAAAATACATAGTTAAGAAACATTCCGTAATATACAAGTGACCCCCGTAGACCCCCGTAAAAGTAGGAAAGACCACAATTTAAACCAAGAGGAAGTTTAAGATGTCATTATTTTAGGGCAGACAGTCAAATCTTCTGATTTTAGATCTGATAAATCCTGTCAATGAAACGTGCTTAAGATACTCTTTTTATCCATTTGTTTCATTGACAAGTGACACCACATTTTGCTACCAGCAAACCAAAAACATGGTCTGTGGGGATCATCCAAGTTATTAATTTCTGAAATAGGAATTGGTTGTTATTTACTGTCATTACAGGAGATCTACTCAGACCTGTTCCCTTATGAAGGGGAAACCTGCTTTGCCTTTCTATAGTGTAGAAAATCAGTCATTAATGATGATCACAAACACTGATACATTCCTAATGCTTCTTCACCCAGCCCTGCTGCAGGCAACACTAGACAAAGCTCTTGCAGTCTTAGCAACTCCACTCATTGTATCTTCCCACTTCGTGATTTTTGTTACCAGTTGGATTCTCTTGTGTACATAAGACAGCTCTAAGATGACAAGCAAGACACTTGCTTTCCCATAAAGAAGTACACAAGCAGAGTTATAAAAAAACAGTTGGGTGATTAGTTTCAAATGGATTTGTGTCTACAGTTATACTCTCTAGTGTTTTTCAGTCTCTGCTTGAAGCACGTATCCAGCACTATAGTACTTTTCTATCACTCTCCCTAGCATTAGTAAGGAGCATGCTAACACTGCAACTTTCCATGCCCTCTTTCCTCCTCAGATGTTTCCACAAAACTTGTAAGACTTCTTCATATTTCTTCATATGGAATTTGTCCGACATTAATCAAGAGGGTCAAAGGATCAATAGGAAAACGAAAAAACCATTTGAGAGGCTTCACTTCTTCATCAGGCAAAAAAAAAAAACCAAACCCAAACCAAAAAACATATTTTGCATTTAGAATCTGATCCCAGATCAAAGAAAAAAAATAATATTTTTGCTTAACAATAATATGCAATCCTCTGCCAGTCTGCAGAACACTATAAACCAGCTCGAACATGCACTGACAGTAAAATAAGTCACTGTCTGGCCTATCCCCTCCCTTTCCTCCATTCTCCCAACGCTTGTTGCTGTAGCCATACTTCCTCTACCTCCAAACAAGCATCTTTGCAGCTACCAGAACTCTGCTGTTACTGGTATCAAAATTGGTAGGTTAGTGCTAGCTCAGATATTCTTGCAGGAAATGCAGTCATACCTTTAATGGAATACAGGAGTAACTCACATAAAGGCTGTAATGTTCTCAGAGCTGCATTTGGTTTTACCTTATTGGGGAAGAAATCCATTTTTATTACAATAAGCTTGAGAGGTAGGATGAAGGTAAGAAAATCTGGTAGAGAATTCACCCAACCTAAGTTTTCTGGTTCTAGTTACTTGCCTCCGTCCTTTCCTCCCAGATGAGGCTTTATGCTGGCTGCAATTGAAGATACCGTAAACTCAAGCTCTGATAATTAGTTAAGGCTTGAAGTTGATCAGAGATACATTAAGCCTTTTATGATTAAAGTCCACATTTTGGAACCACTTCTAAATACACATTTATTTAATCTAATACACTTAATTTTCCACCAAATTTATCACATCAAAGAAAAAGATCTGCACAACATCAAGCTTCATTTTCCCCTCAGGAATGTGTTCTTACAGAAGTACAGACATGTTCCTCCAGCACCAGCAAGCAACTGAAGAGGACGGTCAGACATAAGGAGCAGGAGATGGTAGCATTGGCCAGCTTCTTCATTAAGTCCCACATTGATAGGTCAGCTAGTTTTTGTCGATTCTTTTGCCCTGTCTCAGGTTTGCAGACAAGAGACTTGCATCCAAAAGCGACTAGATTTTACTCTTACAGTCAGATTGTTCCACGTGGGTTATAGAACATCCTTTGTTAGTGGTGGTCTTACTCAGAGGGTTCAAAGGAAAATTCAGACAATCTTCTAGCTCTCCATGGAAATCAGAGGAAGGAGGAGGGAGCAAGTACAAAGGAACATTCACACAACATAACTTAAGGCATCTACATTCTGTAATCAAGAAAAAAGGTGTATCCTTCAGTTTGATATTCTAGAGAAATCTGACTTCACACAGACCACACCTAGCTGTCTCCTACACTAGACAATGCCAATACTTTCCAAGAAAGACAACTACTGTATAAGCAGTGCCTATTTATAAACACTTTCAGAGGTTGGTGCCCTAGTCTGGCCAGATGATATTAAAAATACAGTATAAATGAACACACTGCAGCCAGCGTAGCATTTGGAAAGCTACCACCCCACTCCAGTTCCTTTTGTAAGACATCACTTTTGCCCTTATGCCAACACATGGGAGCAGACCAATCACCTCCCCTAACACAAAAAATGGTCTTCTCCCAGTATACCCATAGAGGATCTCAAACAATACATCGCTTTGTTTCAGAGCTGTTTTTCTTTACACTCTGCATTCAAGTCTGAAAAGACTAGGCACCTGCAGTGTTGCAATTTCTAATGCTTTTCATTCTCACCCTGCAGATTTCAAAAGTGTTGAGGGAAAGGTAAAGTACCCATTCCTAGTAAAGGAAAGAAGTTAGTCCTTGACTTCTCATGATGACTGGGAGAACTCTTGCTTCCTTGGGTCCCTTAACCAAGGAAGAGACTTAAGGCATCACATTAGTAAACTGTAAATACTACATGATATCCAAATTATTTTCAGGAACTAGAAATTTTATACTGATAAAAATAGTCTGAACCTGACGCTTCTCGATGAATTCATTCAGACATGACATTTTGAAAGCACACATTCTCCTAGAAAGAAAAAACAACAGTATTTGAGAAAAATATGCACTCAAATATGCAGTCTTGCTTCAAAACCAGTCAAGGTGCAACATTTCTATTAGACTGCACTTCAAGCTGAACAAAATGTCACTTAAGACTCTTTGTAAGAGTTTAGTTGCAGTCAGAAGAATAAGGTTCTGGAATAGTCTTCTGAATAGTGGGAGGGAAAAAGACACAGAGAACTTTGCTGTAAAAGAAAACCAGTTCACTGATGGACATATTGTTGCCTGTGGCAGTAGATAATTGAACGAGGACCCCAGTCTTTTTCCCAGTCCTTAGCAAAAGGCTGTCAATGTAACAGCAGTATCTTAAAAAAAAATTAGTATGCTATAATTCAAAATATTACCTTCTTTCAATTTTAGGCAATGCACATGGAGTCTTACGTAAAGATGGGAACAGTCACTGCCTCTCAAAAGAGCACAGCACTTCTAATGTAAGCGAGAGAAAACGCATACTTCAGAATGGTGGAAACATCAGCACTAATGAACCAGATGGATTAGTGGAGGGGTATCTGAGAACTACAAGGGGACTTGGACATCATGGAGATCCAGCACTGAAAAGATCTGTTATACCTGTACCTCATACCATATCTGTCCCTATTGATGATACTTGTCAGTTTCTTATTTTAGCTTCTAATGGCCTTTGGGAGGTTTTGGATTACAATGAAGTAGTTGCATTAACTCTAACAACATTCACTCATTACTTGAGAATGTATGAATGTGCTCAACAAAACAGAACTACTCCATATGAGCGTCAGCACTCAATGCCCCTCACTGAAGACCACTTTAATGACTCAAAAGCTATTAGAGATCTGCAAAATGGAAGAGAAATATTGTATTCCAATAAAGACACTTTTCTCACTGACTCAAAAGGCAACCTGAAAGAAAATGAGCCAAAATGTTCCAGGAGGAATTATTTGCAAAGTGAAGATGGAGTGTCTGAGGAAACTGGTGACCATAAAAATCAAGCTGATACAGAACTATCTCTTTTCAGTAACAATGAAGTAAATTCACAGAACAGAGAGATAAAACAGTCCGATTCTAGCCCACAAGGTAGCTCTGAAGATCTGAAAGAGTTTGAGAACAGAAAAGTTTATCTATGTAACAGTTTTGAGCCACAGTCACAGACCACAGCGCAAGGAGAAACAGACACTGACACTTTCTGTGTGACAGGTCCAAGTTGCACCCATAAACACCTGCAAGAGAATGTACGAGCAATAGAGCAAGACATGAAACAGCTCCCAAAAGATACAAAAGCATGCCTATCTAATTCTGACCCAGGTCCACAACTGGCAGAAAAAACAGACTCCAAGATATTTAGTGACAAACTTGAAAGCTACACTGGTCAAGAACTGCTACAGACTGTATCACTAGTGGGTTCTAAAGCATCCCCACCATTTGAAGGGGACACAAAAATGTACCCATCCAATTGCAAAACACAAACTGCAGGAAGAGGCAGAGTCACCTCTGAGACACTCTACGACAGCGCAGCAAGCTACGTTAGTGAACAACTGGTAAAGACTGCATTAGCTGCAGGTTCAAGAGATAACATTACTATTTTGATTGTACTTCTAAATGGATGCAATAAGATACCCAATTATGTCAACATTTAAAAATTTACCATAGAATAACTGGAGTGCCACAGTACATATAGTACAAGCTTATATTTAACTGTGTCATGAATTTACTTGTAATCATCTTAAATGCTGACCCACACAGTAAATCAGACATCTTGTCTGGAACTGTACAAATACAATAAAACCTTCTGAAGCTCTCAGTAAGAAACAGTAATAAAAAATCTTTTTTCTTTTGTCTTTTAAACCACTTTATTCAAACCTGAACACCTCAATATAAAACGAAACACTGGTGAACCATCATTTTCCTTGCTAAACCCAGATTACTGCAAATTTAAAATCTGCACAAGTTAAGTTTCTGCTATCAGTTCAACATTTAAATAGACTAATTCATCTCTTCTGACACTCAGTAGATTTCATATAATGAAAATAACTAAAAGAATTAGTGCAATATACTGGACAGATCAAAATAAAATGTACTTTGGAAAACAAAGTTGCAAAGTTCATTACTGACAGACAGCAGTACTTATGTTACAGATACAGGAGCATCATTTATTACTGTTCTAGCCATAAAGGAAGAACTTAGAACCCCCTTTGATTAGAGAGGAAAAAAGTTAGCTTTAAGTAACTGTACATTCTGTATACCTTTAAGCAACTCTTAAATATTACAGAAAGTATTAAACAAATGTAGACTACAATGCAGAGTACCTATTTACAGTACATTAATATCCAAATTTAAAATCAAGTTGGATGTACATAATCGTTAGTGCACTATTTTTTTCCTTAGGGGAAAAACAAAGTGTAACGGCCAGCAATGATCAAAACCAAGAAAGAAGTCACAGACACCAAGTTTGTTGTGGTTTTACTTGAAGAGCTCTTACAGTTTGTAGAGGAAAAAAAAAAATCCTAAGTTGTCAAGTTGAATTTACTGGTCTGTACCCTCTGAATAGATTAGAAATGAAGTTAAACTTGATTTATCACTAACTCCTTTAGATAACTAACTGGGCTGACATAATTTACATACAGTGTACCAACTAAAACTCCACTCTCCTGAAAGCATAGGGTTCTTAAAATTATTAATGCGTATTATTTGTAATTAATTTATTAAACTATGGAATGTATAACTAAACAGTAGATACCTGCAGAAACAACTGGTTGCATCAATACTGTGAATATGTTTAATTTTCAGACCCTGTTTCTAAAAAAGGTTTTAAAGCACAATTGAGATTTATGAAAAAGTCCCAATTCTATTTATTATAACAGTAATCAGTGTTGAAGCTACAGGAACTGGCCAATTAGGTCCACAGAAGGTAGTTCTTATACACCCCTAATGGTAACTGATTTTTAAAACCTTTCAACTGAAGGAAGTTTATTCCGCTTCCATCTCTCCTCTACTGCTGAAACATTACAGCCAGTGGTGGATGCATGCATGTTAAAACTTTAAGTCAAAAGAAAACTCTGTATCATGAACTTGACTATTAAGTCTCTTCACTGTTTGGAAGCTGTTCTGGGCCAGGTTAAGCACTCCAATTCCATGGTTATTAACAGTTAGGAAGCAGAAGAATATTCAGAACAGTTTAAAGCAATTGATGTTTTAGTTACTACAACATTGACTCTTGGGTGGTTGCGTGGGTTCAGTAAGGTCTACTCCTCTTCCTCTGGCAGAGTTGGCTCCTGCATTCTGTGGTTCATTCTTGGGCAATTTTTTTGCTATAAAATCAACAAGAAATAAGAATTAAAACTGAGATTGCACTAAGATTAACTAGCCTGACTATGCAAACAGTCAACACTTCATTACTCTATAAGCACATCAATATAATCACTATCAAATCTGATTTGATTCAGTGCATTAGTAATAAAAGAAGTTAAGACACTTGACTTCTTAATGATTAACTACTTATCTATGATTTTCAAGAGTGAAATGCACTAGTAACTTGAGCAGTAAAATGTATCTGCACAGGTATACTATGCCAGTAAATGATGGTTCTTGGGTGAATCCACCTACACAGAACAGGCTTTAAGATCAGGATGTTAGTGGTAAAAGATACAGAAAGAATGAAAAGGCATAAACCACAGACAGAAATGGGGCAAACTACTGCCCAGCTATCTAGCCAGAATAAGTATTTGCATACAACATATAAAATGGCCCTCAGCACTAGATCAAGTCTCTCCTCTTTTTTTCAAGCACTCTCTTCTCTCCAGCTCTTATGAGTCAATTGGCTGTGATAATTTCTTTGTTGTCCTTGTATCTCCAGGGTACCTCCTTGGTCCTGACGTGAAAAATAAGGGTGACACGTTACCCTTCTGAGCAGTAGCTCCTCCTAGCAATTTTCTGACAGAGAGAAAGCTAAGTTCTACATAAAAGGACTTCTGTGAGGCTACCTTGCCCATGTTACCAGGACTCAACAACCATCTCTGTTCTACAGTTTGCCCGCACACTTCGACTCCAAAGTAATTATTTTGGCCAGCTTTTTAAAGAACAACTTTTCCTAAAAGGAATTAAATACAAGTATAACAGCCAGAAAAGCAGCAGAGTACACAACAAAATGTGTTGTGGTGATAGATAGTCTCAGGGTTCTAGGTAATCTCATCTAGGCTCCCTTTCCCACAAAAGGTTGGACCAGATGATCTTTTGAGGTCCCTTCCAGCTTGGGCTGTTCCACGACTCTGTGACAGAATCCAGGAGTTCACGTGGTAGTAAGCTGCTCAGACAGTACCAAGGGACAAAGCACCAGTAGAAAAACACCTTCAGAGCACTGTCATTTTGGATTCTAGATACATTCTAGAACTGTAAATTCACATGATTTTTTTTACCTGGAAGTTCTGAATGAGCTCTAAAGCAGTCAATTTATAAGCAGCTGTAGCTTGCATCCCTCAATTCTGTCCGTGTTCTCGTTTTTAATTTTCTCCCATTTTTGAAGATCATATTTACACACAGTGCCAGGAACTGCATCCCCATTGTGCAAAAGGCCATTCCAAGTTCCATGCAATACTTATATCCTTGTCAATATTTCAGGGTTCACTGCGGCAGAGATCTTGTTTTGGTGCACTGACAAAGCTGAATTTCACCCATTGATGTGAAAATCCTCACATGGAAAACCAACCTTGCAGACAAAATACCCAGGTACTAATTGGGCATTGCTTTCTCAAATTTACTTTGTATATGTCACTAAAATATGGAGAGATAAGTATTATTGTTGATATAAGAAATTACAAAAAAAAATGTTGTGATTAATTTTTCTTTCCTTTTTTTTTTTTTAAAACAAGATGCAAACTGCACCTTTAAACAAATCTATTTTAAAATTTCACCAGAACAGTGTAATTGAGCGTTTCTATATCATTAAATGCAGGCCTATCTTGAGCATTTATGAGAAAAATATACTTTCCACTCATACTGTTGTGGTTTCTTTCCCCAAGTAACTACAAGTACTTGTAGTTAATATGAAGCAAGTACTTGTTATAAAGTGTTGCTATAGTGATAATTTAATTTGCATCTGCTGGAAGCTTGAACCACATCACAAATTACCTTCTGCTTTATTGACTTGGAAAGCAGAAGAGCTCTTCAGAAACATTTAACTTTGATAGCAATGCTGTTTTTCACAAAAAGAAGTGGGATAGAGGGGTCGCTGTAGTGCAAAATACAAAAGAGATTTAGTAAAGTTATCTGACACTATACATTACTACTCCCCAGTAGCAGAGCCACTACTGTGATTAAGGTCATTACTAAACAGGCTGGTGACCAACCTAAAAATGCCTGCTCTTTTTCTTCTGTTTTCAAAATCTTATTAACAATGAAATACAATTTTGTGTCTATCAATGGAATTAACTAAATTTCTTAGTCGTTTATACTTGCTGTTACGTGTTAGGACCTTTACAGAAATCCCCATGATTATGTTCAGGCTAAAAATATATCAGTAAATTTACTTTTCACATGAAGTCCCCTTTTCTTATATTTGGATATTGAATTTAAGCACATATTGTCATCTTTGGCACAACTTTTGGGTTTTGGATAGCTGTATTTGGGATTCAAGCAAAATTTTAGTGCAAAAGTGTATTTAGCAAATATTTTGTTTAGACTAAAATGAATACTTGACTCTAAGTCCATTATCATTCTCCCATTTTGAAATGTTTCCAGCTTCAATTACCACTGTCTCATAGGTACATTATTCCAGGTTCTGCACTTATTCAAGGCAGTGCGGAATCTACTGCAAACAACATACCATCAAAAGGCACACATTTATACACTTTCACTTACAGTCTTACACTAATTTGATTAACAAATGCCAAGTACATCTTACTATTAAGAAAAGCTGCATGAAGCTTTTTATGGTTACCTATACCATGGGAAAGGTGTTTTTTTGTAGACAACAACTAAAGCTTCATCTTGCTTGAACAGGAAGCAGTACAAGTTTTCATCATGGAATCAGAACAGGTACACAGAACTTGCTGACAGAATTCAAAAGTAACCTAGCTCAGCTACTCCAAGTTAATCCAAGATCTATGCAACAGTGCTTCAAGTAAGTTCATCTGACTCCTGAACATCAAAAAGGATACGAAAGGGCCTAAGGAAACTTCAGTGCCAGAAATAATTTTGCTGAAAAACAAAGATCTTGGGCTAGGATGATTGTGATGGTATGAATCTGATGAAATCAATTCCCTTAAATTCTCAGCGTGTCCATAAACTCACCAATTGCCATGAATATTTCATTTACGTTCATAGATGTTTTGGCAGACGTCTCCATGAACAATAAGCTGTTGTCATCTGCATAAGCCTGTGCTTCCTGAAAGTTAAAATAACAATGTATTACTTCATCTAAAAACCAAAATAATAGAAAAAAAAAAATCACACAATCATTACACATTGTAATTTTATTGCTACTAAGGAACAATTTCTACACCATTTTGAAAGAAAGTTTGTTGAAACACTCATGTGACAATGTGTTGTCACATCAGCTATGAAGCAGGTGATTCCATCAAGCAGCTAAACATTTAGAAATGCAATCTTAAAAATATCCAGATGAAAAATCTCAGGCAAAACT